TCGCCAACAATATCCAGGGTTTAGGCGTGAGATTTTAAAGAAAACTTATGCCTATTAATAATACATCATTAATATTATTTTTTAATATTTAATGAATAAACTTAAAATTAAATTTGATTAATATATTGTGTAACATGAATACAATATTTAAAAAATTAACATATTTTAATAAATAAAAAGTTGTAAAAACCTATATTTTTAAGGTTTTTCTTTATTATTTACAAAAGGGTTAATGTACCAAAAAAAAATAAAAACTTCTTATTCATAGATAATATTGTGTGGAAAAATATTGCTAATTTACAATTTTTGTGTAGCTATAAAATCTAAGGAAATACAGATAAATAACTAAAAAACGAACCATTTTCCAAAAATATTGACTTTGACTGGTTTTTCTTAATTTTACGAAAAAGTATTAATTTTACAAAAAATTTACAAGATACCTTTTTTGTAGTAAATATTCATTACTATAAAAATAGTCCTATACATATATGGTCTAAATTTAGAATTAAAGACATTACAGGTGAAAATGTATAATTCACCCCCTTAGCATACAACTTTAACCCCTTTGAGGCACGTGAAGGGGTTGACTTATCAAATTCAAATTTTACCAAAATTATCTTGTCAATATACCAAACAAAATTTCGAGCCCATGACATAACATTAATGAAGTTCATAAATAAGGACCACCCTAATATATATATATATATATGTATATAAATGTCTACTGGACTATTTCTATAACAAAATATATATATACACTCAAATAATACGATATAAAAAAGTATAATATCTAATTTTCCCTGGAAAACGTATCCCTGGCACCCGTAGAGAGAAATCGATTTTTCCGTCGGAAATTCGTTGATACAAATTCTGAAATGAGTGGTACAAATTGGTACAAATTATGGTACAATTAATGTCGCAAAAAAAAATTATGGATATTTCAACATTGTGGTGCCAGGGCAAGGTACCTACAATAAATAGCTTTTTATTAAATTATATAAATTGATTGTACTTAATACTATTAATTGAATAAAAATAACTAATTTATATTATTTTTAATAAATTAGTGAAAAATTAATCTACTTAAAGGTAATTTAAAAATAATATAAATACATTAACAATATTTTTATAGCTATAAAATATTAATATGTAAAATAATAGAATTTAAGTATGCATAATATAACATGCCACTAACATACCACCACGATTTATCGACATAATATTTTTTTTTTTATTTCTGTATAGTCCCAGATTCTTAGCTTTGAATTAAAAATATTTACATTGTACATATAAATATTTTAGAATCAAGTGGCCTATCATACAAGGCAATTTTCCTTTCAAGTTTTTCCAATCAATTTAATACTGTAGTTCGGGCTCGCCATTAATTTGAAAATGCGTGCCAAACGCGTGTCATTTGCGCTATAAGCTTCTCGAAGTTTCGAGAAGTTTCGTGGCGCGCCCTCTCCCACCGGCCAGTCACAAGAAAACCGGTTCGGTCAACGGCCGCTTCGGTGGTGGGTTTTTTCGCTCGCCGTTTTTTCCATCGCACAAAAGGTGTGGACTTCACTTTGCGCGTATGCGTCGCCGATGACACGACGCTTTCGGGACGTTGCTGTGTGAGTCAGTGCCGTCTTCGTCACGCCCGAAAACTTGTTAGTATCATTTTGCCGAGTCGTCTGGGCTTTTCTCGAGCGTGTTTCCATCATCGACAATTTGTCAATTCCATCACTTTTACGCCCGTTGGACAATCACGTTGCCGTCACTCGCCATCTTTCAACGCTGTCACGGACGCCCTGAGTCCGAACGAGCGGTTTCAATTGGAGCCGGTGTTTCTGCGACATATTTTTAGAAGACTTCCGGTATTCTCCGGTCCGTCGCACGTGTATTCACACGGTCGCGTGGGTGAAACCGCATGGTCTGGGGCTACCACACGGTAAATTATTATCACGCTGATGCGAAAGATTTTTATTATTATTATTATTTATATTGCCTAGCGCGTCTGCGGCGCAGGTTTATGTATTTATTTCCTTTTGAATACGTAAGGGCGCATAATTTTTTCTTAATATAATATATGTACATTTTAGCAATCATAAATCTTATTGTTATGTGTTATTATTGTTAAACAAGGGTAACCTTATTCCAACACCCCGCGAGTCACGTCCGACAACCGCCGTCCTCGTAGGAGCGGATGCGGCGCAAAATCAACTGTTGTTATCAAGTTTGGCAATATTTAAACATTGAAAAGTTCGTCCATTAATGGTTAATATATAACTATCTTTAAGAACTGAAATACTAATTTTAAATAAATTAAAGATAATTTTCTTAAACCTTTAATATGGTCAACCAATGTACCATTTTTATCTCGTTTGGAGATAATTGGAATTATATCAAGAATAACTGTGGAATTAACTGTAGGCAGGTCATACATTTCTTTATATTTATTAATTAATCATTCTAGTAGTTTGTCATGCTTTCTGACTTTATTTTATATAACTTTCATGAATTTTTTAAAGGGGAATGTGGTACAATTATCGAGAGATACAAAATTAACATAGTCATCAGATAAATGAAGAAGTCCATGAACATTTTGTGAAATGTACTGTCGGCCATATATTTCTTCTAATGTCCTAACGAAATAATGAAGTTATTCTATAGTATATATAAACTAAGAATTATAGTTCAAATAACAACCATAATCAGGATTAAGCAATTTTATCATTGCGACATACAATGCCATAAAATTTGTACATGCATTTTCATTTATAATGTCTTTAGGAACAATTGGCCCAAAAAAAATCAACATAAAAATCTTAACTCACTTGCTTTATATCTTTCAAAATCATTTATTATTCTTGTTTTCTAGGAAAATCAATAGTTATAGTTGAATTAATGTTCAGTAATGAAGCATTTAATATATTAATACTACGACTGGAAATGCGTGTATGTACTGTCTCAGTATGCAATCAAAGTAAAATAAGTTTTTTTATAACCCCAAGTGCCACAAGATGCATATATTTAAGTGAAAACATATTTACAATATCTATACTTGATAATTCAATAAGCTTAGATAACATATCTCCATTATGATGATATATTCTATTTTTATATGATTCATATGTTCTTTGAGTAGTATTATTACAATATGGATAACAAACACGATTTTTATAATATTCTCCAACTTGAATACAACAAGTAAAAGATGAAAATTCTGAGTGGCCTGTAAGACAAATGCTTTAGCTGGACTATCACAAATAAAACCACTAAATGATACTTTTTTAATGAAATTATCAATTATAATACCATTCATGTATGGTACAGATTTCATATTTGAATTTCGCGCTATATATTTACACACTGGAGCGCCACGCTCACCCCAGGATTGCTATTTTCGCCACGGGCTGCGCCATAGTCGTTCATGTCGTTCACGATCCGGTTCCGCTTTTCGTTTTTGTTGTTGTGTTGTGTGCGTCGTGTTTGAACTTCAGAGTAATAATAATATAGAGAGGGCACAACATATAACGGCGTATAAGGATTATTGCAGCAATTGTTATCACACAAACACCGCTTACGACAAACTTTACCACTAGCTGGCGTTGTTTTCATAACAACAAATTCAATGATAATAATTTCCGTTTAGTTTTACGACAAATTCTGTTTGAATTTTTATTTTTCATAATTTTATTTTATGATATTATTATTTATTATTATCCTCATCACCACGATTAAAGTGCTTATTAGTCATAATCTGTATACAAAATATAAATTAAAATGCCAAGCTGTTGTTTTTGTGGAAGATGGCAAGTAGCCAAAGCAAAAAACAATGGATTAACATTTCATAAGTAGGTACCTAAGTTAATTATGTACATTTATAAATTGTAATTTTTACACAATGTTTAAAAAAGTTTTTGAATGATATTAAATTACAATGTTATGTAATTATATATTATACACAAATATTTAATTTAAAACCATACAATTAAAAACTTGAATTTTTTCATAAAATAATTAAATTCCTAAAAGATAATCAAACATTGGCAGCTTGGATGGAATTTGTTAAACAATGTTCATCAGAAGTAAAGCCAAGAAGTGTAGTGTGTTTTGCTCATTTTACAAAGGACTGTTTTGATCATTTTTGTCGTAGTGTACAGTTAAAAAAAAATCCATTCCAACAATATTTATACAAAGAGTTAAAAGTGTACATAAACACAATCACATATTTTGTAGTTAATTAATATTATAATATATTTCAGGCTAAGACATTGAATCCAGAAGTTCTGGTGCCAGTAGTTCAGTGCAATCAATCAATTGATTCTTCTACTGCACGATATATAAAGGTAATATTTTTTTAAGTTTTTTCTTTTATTTTATTTACAATTATTGTTTATAATATAGGTAACAGATGTAGGATTAAGTGTGGAAGGTGTTGAGCAAATTAATTTTAATCTTGAAACAAAAGATGTCCACTTTAGTGATACTTTTGTATTAAAAAAACCAAATGAAGTAGTATGTTTATCAATATAAACAGGAACAAATTATTTTTATTTATTACACTGTTTTTCTAGATACCAATAATGAAGAATGTCAATAATATATGTCAGTCTGCTCTTAAAGACTTACCAGGACGATTAAAATTAAAGCGAAAAATTATTCTCAACAGCTCAGTATAAAAAATAAAAAAATAAAGTATTTAAATCAAAAAGTTCACCGCCAACAAAAGTCAATATGCTTGCTTAAGAGTGTGATTGCGTCCTTAAAAGACAATAATATTTTACATCATGATAATGCTGACCTTTTATCTGACTGATTCGGTAAAAATAATTATTTAATTAATTTAATTAGTAGTTTGGCTAAAAAAAATTTAGGTAAAAAGCTTCCACGCAAGTATATTCAATAGAATTAAGACACTTTGCTCTTTTGCTTCATTTTCACTCTGGTAAAGCTTATGATTTCGTCCATAAAGAATTTAATATAATTTTACCACATCCAAGAACATTAAGTAAATGGTATACAAAAACAGATGCTAGTCCTGGCTTTACTAATGAATCTTTAGACACTTTAACATTTAAATGCAAAAATACTGACAACACCATATATTGTATATTAGTATTAGATGAAATAGCAATCCGTAAACATGTTGAATGGGATGATAGTAATTACCATGGATATGTCAATTTTGGTGCTGAGTTAGATAGCGATCAATTAGATATAGCTAATGAATGTCTTGTTTTTATACTTGTAGCTATTAATGAAAGATGGTTAGAGATTTATCCAGTTGGATATTTTTTATGTAAATATCTCAATAGTACACAAAAATTTAACCTACTTACTCAATGTTTAGACCTAGTTACTAAAACTGGTGTTGTTATTGTGAGTGTTACTTTTGATGGATGTTCTTCCAATATTGATATGACAAAAAGTCTTGGCTGCTCATATTATACTAATAATTTAAAAACTAATTTTACTATTAATAACCTGCAACCTATAGTTATTTTACCTGATCCTTCACATATGATCAAGCTAGTTAGAAATTGTTCTGGAGAAAAAAGGAGATTTGTAGATAATAATAATGAAGTCATAGATTATTTATTTAATGAAAAACTTAATCTAACTAAATCTATAATTAACGGTCACGGACACTTTGGCAGCAGTGCTCTGTACAAGGTGCCTGCATCTTACGGTGACCAAAATATTGGGTCATCCTGGAAAATGGGAAAATTTGAAATATCTCTTGTAGAAGTAAAGTAATATAACTATACGATTTTATTATTGAAAATAAACCCTATATTATAGGTCATTAAAACTATAAAGGTTATACGAATACAAAGTCTTAAAATTAATGCCTGTGAGGTATATAGTGTTATGCACAGAGGGGGATGAAAAAACCCATCGGCTTTTTTTTAATCTTAAATATTTAAAAACGTATATAAGAAATACGACTGGGCAGTCACGGTTAAATGGATTGGTAAACATACATCAAGACATTCCATTATCTACAGAACAAATAATTGTTGAATTTAGTGTAAAAACCAGAAGAATGAATTTCCACCTTGATTGCATTTTTTTTTTTTTTTTTTGTAAAATAATAAAGAATAATGATTGAAAATAATACATTATTATTTATGACATCCCCCCTTACCAAATTCCTGTGCACGTCACTGGGGGTATAACATTCGTTATGCGTTCCTATAACCAAACGCTGACATTGAACGTGTGCTCTTTTTAACACATTTTAGAAATCCAAATTGTCCATGAGCTAAAACTATGAGACTTCTAATCATTTTGGCAATAATTTAGTGAAAAAATAATTAATACGATCTCAGTATTAGTGGCACAATTATAATGTTGGACGAGACACAATTCCGTTTCAGGAATGTTTACGCATTTATCTTACGGATATTTATCTGAGGACGTGATATTTTTAACCCTAGGGATTTTAATGGCATATTTAAATTCTGTTTATAGTAGCAGAATATTTATGTTACATAACATTTATTACTACTACGAGAATTGTTACGATTTTTTTTAATTTTTTCGGATGATCCTTCATAAGATATAGGTAGAATCAGACGCAATAAAGTGCGAGAGTATTCCGGAACTATCGAATTCCGACAGCGCAAATAATAACGTCTCCGCATGATTGTTAAACATTAGTCTATTATATGCAATACGCGCGTGCGGCACAATAAATCGTTCTCTTTAACCACGATCACAGCTAGAGAATTAACTTGATTGGCACGCGCAATTTATTTCAGACTTACACCATATTCGGGGTTTGAGGAATGGGATACTGTACGCCACGACCGAGCGAGGCGACGATAACAACCTATTCGGGTCTTGATAACTAATTGATATGGTGAAACAGTCTGTTGGCTTGTTGATACTTTGTATTTCGTGTATATTATACAGAGTGTAACCAAGTCGAAAAAAATCGGTCTTGGTCAGTGGTTCCCAATAAGCCAGTAGGTGGTCAAAAGATCGACTGTATTACGTCCTCCGTGGCTGGTATTAGGAGAAGGGCTTGTTCTGAATTTGAAAATTTCTATAAAAATCGAGCGACAATGATAGGTTTCTCAAAATTACTCTAGAAATTTAATTGTATACTTAGTGATTATTCAAGTGTACACGATTGAAGTGATGGTGTAGAATAAACCTCTGTATGTTGTATTTTTTGAAAAAAAAAATTCTTATTTATATTATTAGAAGTACTTATATACAATTTAAAGATTTCATAAAAATAATTTTTTTTCATCACTAGCATTATATAACAAAATAAAACGATCTTCGGTCCAGTTAAATTTTTATCTAGGGGTCCTCGGCTAAGTAGGAACCCAAGATAAGGTAGCACGCGTACGATTTTTCAAAACAAACGGTAATAAAAAGGAAGGCGATAAGGATAGATCGGATACGTATACACTCGACACGCTCCATTGAAACCGGTGTACGTAAAAGCAGCTTCCCAGCAACTTCTTTTTTATATTTTTTTTATTTGAGCCGTAACTATGTATAATAAAGTTATTGGCTAATAGCAATTTTCAATATATGATTGATTTGATAAATCATGGCATGTACAAATCGTGATATTAAAAATTTAAGTAATAGCCATAGCTGCCGAAGTTGTTTAAATAAGATGAATAAAAAAAAAAATTAAAAAAACGTGATATTATTTTTAATACTCATACAAGATAGATTAAAATCAGTTAAGTTTTACAATTTAACAAGTTTTAAGAATATACACATATTTTTATCAAACGTTTTTTCCATTTCGACAAAAAACGAAAATGGTTTTCTTTGGCCTTTCAATTGCAATAACAACTCACGATAAATAAAAACAATACAAGTACACTTAATATCGTAAAAACGTATATACTTGGTATATATTTAGTGAATACTTATAATTGTTTGAGTCAATAAAAAAACATTGTACATAATATTATTTTTAAACGCTTAGAAATACACAATTTGTTAACTAGGTGGTGGCAGTGAAAGGCAGTGTTTCTCAAACGAAGAGTCATGGCTATATTATTGGAGAGCCATGAAATATTTATTTTATTCATACTCTTTTCTCTTTAATTTATTTATATTTATACAAGTCTAATGTTTAATACTATTATGAAGTTTTTAAAAAAAAACTATATTAAAAAACATTCTTTTATTATACATTTTAATAATTTATTTGGGTAAAATAGTACATATTATTTTATTAAATAATTAAGGAACAATAATTAATCTATTTGATTAAGAGAGCCTCGATAGATTTACATTAAATTTAGGGGGCCCCATGACAAAAAAAAAAATTGAGAAGCATACTTGATAACAAATGCTCATGTCCTACAATTAATTTTATTATTTGTACAAATTACAAAATATTGCAAATATATTATCGTTTAAAGTTGTATAAAAATAATGTTCTTTCTAACACGCATCTGTGGTAAAAATCAGTATCACCGTTACAATGACAATAAACGCAGTCATTTTTAAAAAATATTAAATTTAGTCCCGTCTAAATTTCATATTTTTTTTCAATACGGACACCTAGTTGTAATGAGAAATATAGAACCTATACAATTTTATCTTTATAGTGAATAAATAATATAAATCATATATTCACCTACGGATTTGACGTTCTTTTACGTTTTAATTAAATGGTGCATTTCCATTTTATTCTCCCACACACGTTCAACAATTTAATTAAACATAAATTGCAAACAAAAATCCTCAATTAGACTGAATTTTCTAAAATCAAATCAAAACTTATGAAATTGTGGTTATCAAGATAGTGCCTAATGAATGATTAAAATTAAGCTAAAATTTGATTGAGTAAAATATATATAGGTAGTATAAAAGTAAAGTGGACTGTATATGAAATGGTTATACATTAACAGACTAGTATTAAATAAAAAGTAGTAAAAAAATAATAGTAATTGAGACACAAAATGTGCTGGTAAACAAAGGCAGATTAGCAAGTAATACAAAATATTAGTTACAACAATAAAAAAATAAATAAATATCAAATTATATAAATACCATAAACTAATCGGTGTAGTTAATTAGTCAACGATGGTGGTGGTGATGATGATGGCTAAATTGGTAAAAAGTGAAATAATACATAAAAGTAACGTTTGCAATAAAAATGGTAACTAGCGATAAGGTGAAACAACAAAATGCTAAACAAAAGAAAGAAAAATACACAAAAACAAAAATACGAAAATATATGTATTTACAGGAGTTATGATAGCCAACGACAAATAAAACTCAACTGGTCTCTCCACACGAATAGAACCCGGTTGCGCACGATTAATCTTTTTCGTAACCTGATTGAGCACGATTGCAATCAAACAATAGGAACCAAAAAAAAACCCAAAAACCACACGATTGAGCACGAAAATAGGTTTGACGTTGCCGTTTTGTTCGCTTTGTAAAATATTTAAATAATTCATCATTTTTTCTTATCCCAAAAAACCTATACTTGAAAGTTCTAACATTAGCTAAATCTTTGTCTCTCTCGGATAAAATAATTTTTATTTCATTATTTTCCATTTTAATTTGCAAAATACACGTTATGTAGGAATACAACACGAGCACACGAGAAAACAGAAAAGACTGGCTCTTAGGAATGGACAAAAAACATCGATATTTTTAAAACATCAGTGTTTTTGTTCGATACATTGATGTTGCTTCGATGTTTTTTTATCGACGATACATCGAAGATAACATCGATGTTTTTATTTCGATGTTTTTTTTTTTTTAATTATGTTATTAATTTGTCAGTTCACAGTTTTTCACGAGGTTTTCTGAGTTAAGTGTTCCGTCGAACAACTCGACCATCGAGTTTCGCAATGGGCATTAAAATTTAAAATACGTAATACGTGATAAAATATGTGTAAAATATGTTGTAACTCGTAAGTGTGACCAATGTCCTTAACATAGTGTTCATTTTGATTCGTTCAGCCGCGACCACGATTAAAGACATCTTTAATCGTGGTTTACAGTTTCACGTTGGTTATTATCATATTATAATTAATTATGATTGTTTTAACTGTATTTTAAGATTTAAGACTAAAGTATTTCATATCATATTAATTTGTGTAAATATTTTATATAAAGAAGGCAATACCCGAGTAAAAAAAAATCAAATCATCAATTTTATAACAGTTTATTATAGTAATATGTATTGAAAAATTAAGTATAACAATAGTATTTTAACTTTTAAATTCATTATTTAATCAGGAAATTGTAAAAAAATCATCGAAAAAACATCGATATTTTTTTAAAATTCCGATATGTCGACACTATCAATGTTTAAAATTTCGATGTATCAATACATCGAAACATCGATGTTCAAAATATTTTGCCCATCCCTACTGGCTATTATTTACAGCTTAGATACATACAATAACAGTTCAATCGTTGTAGATAAAATTCTGGTTTCCTATCTATCAAAGTTATTTTAAACTTCCGTGGTATCGATAGCGAAATTTTTTTTTACTAATAGTTAGTTTTCTATTAGTAATCTACATACAATTCAATACATACTAGAAAAACTCTGACAACGTTGTACACAATATTTTTTTTTACCGAGCTCAATCGGGTCGTCAAAAAGATCGGCTGATAACGACTGTACTCAATCCATAGAGTAATTACTCTATGGCTCAATCGAGTATCACGGCTCCACACTTTCGCAACTGATAAACAAAAATATAAATCATGTGAAAAACAGAAAAAAACGATTACAAGACTTTTTCTCTTTAACACTAATAAGGTACCCATACACAAGAGGATTTATTAACGGATTTAGTCTATGGTAGATTAAATCGTTCAAAATGTTCTGCCTTGCAAGAGGTGAATCTATGGGGGGTTATGGGGGATAGATCCTCCCTTCCATGGGCCGTGGGTTAAATTTTTTTTTGCCTGCACAATTTAAATAAAAACTATTTTTTTATTATTTCGTAATCAAGAAGGATACACGTATTCATATTAGATTACGGATACACACCTCGTACTTATATTATGATCCGGGATACAACCATAAAGTAATACGAGTATGTACTATAATAATATATGTAATAGAGTACCTTCTATTACTCTATAACAGCTGAGCAAACGTTCTCAACATTAAAAAGACTAAAAACTTACTTGAGACCATAGGCGTAAACTGGATGGGGGGGGGGGGGGGGGGGGGGCAACTGCCCTTCCCTCAAAAAATTTAACAGGGCAATGCCCCTTAATATTTTACAAAAATATGTATTTGAAAACTATTATCAAAAAGGCATTGTAGTATTGTAAGAATTACTTTCAAGAAAAATGAAAAATGTAGTATTTTAAGAAAATTAACTAAAGAAAAAAAATGAATTGATCACTCAAAATGTATTTATTTATTGTTATTTACCAAAATGCGATATGCTATCGCAATACATCATAATAGAATCTATTATCATAATTATCGAGTAAAAACCATAGAGTAATATTACTCTATGGTAAAAACAAAACCAGTGTGTTCCGTTAATTTATTAAGTTCCGTGGTAAAATGAAAGCTTGTTTTCCTATAATTCATGATCACTGTCAACTATAAATGATAACATGACATGACTTGTTGTGTCCTATTTATCTTATATCATTTTTCATTTTCAATATTCATCGTATTCGTCCTATCACCAACTACCTTCAACTTAATAACGTATTATTTAAGATAGTAAAATAATAAAATGATTTCTAATAAAAGACCATGTCAAAAAATTACAAATTTTTTTTCAAAAAAAATTTCCCTAGTTCAGTTAAGTTATTTATATGTTATTTTGTATTAATTTAAGTTGCATTTTACTAAATAAAATCATGACATAAATCAGTGAAAATTATCTAATAAACTTTTTAAATAAATTAAAACGAATAATTTATTTTTATTTCTTAGAATTAAATTAACACTTAATTCTGGTGAGATTCAAACATTAGTGATAGAAGAAGTCGAAAATTATTCAGCAGAAACTGACGTCCATAATCAAACACCAAATGTTATAGAAGGTAAGACACTAAAAACAGTTTACTACTCAATGTGTATGTTTAATATTGTTATATTTATGTGTAGTAAATTTGTATCAACGTTTAGTTTATTCAGTGTTTTTAATTATGTTAAATATTATTTTCTAATCAGTTAATGTAAGTAGCCACTAGCCATGTATTTTAATTTAAAGAACAATCAAAACCAAATCATAATATATCAAAACAATTATTTAAATGTATAATATATATATATATATATATATATATATATATTTAACTTAATAATTAATGAATAATTAACTATAGTACATTTCATTGACATTATGATGTGTTCTTCTTTAAATATCAATGAATACTGTTATAATAATTGTCTTGTATTATACATTTTTTTACATTTTAACTATATACCTTCCTGTGTTCTGTCTTCAAGTATTCATAAATAATGTGTAATGTACATGTGTTGATATTAATATTTATATTAAAAATCTTAATGTTATATTAGACATTAGTTACAAGTAAGTATTCTTTAGTTATAATCTATTGAATATGAAATTATGCATTTACATGTGTAATGATTTAAAAATTAAAGCATTTATATGTTAATTTATGAGTGAAGTATTTATTTGTTTTTTTTTAAATCATTACTTATTATATTATAAATTTTTAATATTACCTCTCCGATGATCGTGGCGGTCTGCCTCTTGACAACCGTAGTTGACTCTTCAGGTATGGAAGGTATGGAATAAGGTGACCAATTTATATTTTAAAATGACAATAACTTTCTTTTTTAACTCACTTATATTAATTTTATTTAAATTACTTATACACACATTAATACACTTATTTTAAACTTTTACAGAACGTTTTACAATTAATTATATCTTTCTGCATAGACGATTTGCGTAGTCTTTTACACTCGCCTTTGACCGTCTATACAAAAGGATAACAAGAACGCGTCTCCCCTGTAATTGAAAATTTTGCTCCTTATATTTAAAGTCGCCTGTGTGTTGCGCGTGTATGTGTAAGTACTTACGTACGTAAGTACGTGTGTATCATATTTTATGTTTAATACTTATGACTTATTCTTATATTTAATGTGTACCTACTGATTATTATAATTATTTAATTGTACATTCAATTTTTTTTTAAAAATATATGAATGCTTAGGCGCATATCATTACACATTAATTAGTACATTAGTTTAGTTTGCTTTTGCTTAATAACATAGCATTGTGCCATTTTACCTAGATAAATTATAAATGTTACAATAAATCAAATTGTTAGGTATAATTTAATTTTTTACTTGTTCACCACATAATTTTTATTTATTAAACATTTTTATATAATATTAAAAATTTAAAACATTTTCCTTAAAATCAATAAAAAATTATAATTTTCCAACATAATTTTAATAATTATAGATGCAGAAAATAGGGATCCAGTGAAAGAATGTGAGAATGCAATGAAATTTTTAGCTCTGAAGGAAGGCCCATTTAAGTCAAAAAATATATTATATCCAGTTGTTAATGGACGGAAATTTCGTGAAGCATGGTTTAATCAATACCAATGGATTGAGTACAGTTCATCTCTAAATGCTGCTTTTTGTTTTTTTTTTTTTGTAGAGCATTCTATAAGCCGAATAAAATGGATCATACATAACAAAAAATATTACACACGATTCTGTCAACAACAACAGGTAAGCAATTAAATGCATATTGAATACTATTGTCAATTATGTATAGGAACACAACATCAGGTAAAATTTAAATCCGGTATTCTTTTCAATCATTTTCTTAAATTTTTCATGGACAGAAATTCCAATTTCACAAAATAAATTGTCTAATTTATTTTGAAAATTTTTTATTACTCCAATAACTTTAACTATCGGAAGTCCTCGATTTTCTAATTCTATTTTAATTGCTTTAAGTTAAGTTCCGTAGTTCGAGTGAACAAATACTAAATCGGCTTAAGTCAGAGTAAAATATTTTATGAAACTCTTTTTATTGAAACGGTTTCGTCAGTATCAAGTTCTAATACGAACATTTTTACATCAATAAAACTATTTACTACTATTTAAAATTATTAATTTTACGATAACGGCAGGGTTTGTACGACCCCCCCTCCCCGTTTAAAAATCTACACTCCTATCTGATCCACTTCCTTTATACACTAAAAAAAATATGAAAAAGCGAAGAGCTTATTGTTAACTTCGGTAGTCGAACCGAGACGAGTGTAACAAGTGGCCTCTAAATGTTTATTCCTGTCGGTATTTTTTGATTGCTTTGCTTGTGATACCATTCGACCATATAACTATAATAAACAGCCTAAAATTAATGCTTTATTAATGGCTAGACCGTGTATGAACTCTGATTTACTTTTAACAAATCAACAAAATCCAGACATATTATTATATCAATAATATTATAATAATTGTAATTGAAAATGTAATAAAAATAGTAAAAACATTTATTTAAAGATCCTCTCTTTGTCAACCTGAAAAACATAAAATCAATTTATGAAATACACAGTTGAAAAAAGAATCAGAAAAAAAAATAACTAAAAAAAGTATTCTGACATGCATATTAGTGAAATATTATTTGAATTTCCTTTAATAAATTAATGTTTGGTATTATAATATTATTGTTTTATATTAGACCAAAATCCACATCCACTACATGAAACTAAGTAAGTTTGATTTCTCGTTTATCAAATATTTTTTCAATCAAATGCATTTTAGATAGAATTATTGAGCCATCGTAACCACCCGTTAAAACAATATACAACATTATTGATTTATTTATAGTTTTGAATTAGTTACCAGTGGCAGTTTGAGTTACAAAAATTCAAAAAGCATACTTCATACAACTACTCATTCACCTGCCAAATTTATTTTACCAAACTTTCATCACATAACCTAACACATATACATAAACGTAATTATTTCGTTGTTTATTATATGAGTATGTAGATTAATTGTAAATTATAATTTACAATATATTGTACATATTTCAGATAACTTACCGTGATAGATACATATACCCACCTTTTTTTCGGACCTGGAGCGACCACTCCTGTTAATAAAAAGCCGCCCCTACAGCAACCATGAACAAATCAAAGTTTTAAATAGACAAGTGTTTGAAAAATTCGAATTTTGTGTTATTTGAGAGGTACACAAGCTTGCATAGATACCAAAAATAATCATATAACATATATAAATATAGAAACACACTAGTATAACAGGACACGAGCGTGCCGGTAATGCATAATACAATCATAATGTGATGCAGGGAAAATTTTTTTATCATTATTATAATTATCAGTTTTCAAACTACGTGTTATTTATTAATTTTTCTACGGAAAACAATTCCATTTTTAGTACGCCGAGTGTATTTACTCCATCCGCACATGAGAATTTTTTTTAGTCAGTGATACAGATAGGATATTACATTAAATTTAGATATATTCTGGTTTTAGATGTTGCATTTCATATGTAAGTATAAAAATTGTTTCAATAACTCTTCGTGTGATATTTTACTTACAACTACTGTCAATACTAACGATGACACATCATCAAATATATTTATATATTTTCAATGATCTAGACAGAAATTATATATTTTTTAATAGTCTCAAATAATTTTTGACAGATTTTCAACACATTACCTGCATAATTCATTACACTGCATAATGATAAATAGTTATTCTCTCTCTTTTTTATTGATATGGATACAAGATGTCTTATGAAGGTTATTAAATATTGTTATTGTTATATTATATTAATTATTATTAATTCAATTTAATTTATAGTTATAATCGCCACACAAATGTTTATTTCATTAGCAATTCAAATTATTATGAATCATTTATCCTTAATTTAGTTTATACTAATATGATAACACTTACCATATATCTATAAATATTTAGATATAATTCAAAATTTATATTTTCCATTTACTTCGAAAACCCAATTACCAGACTTAGGTAAAATACTTTTTAAAATTATTTCGAATACATATTCCGAATACACTATGATGATAGTATTCCCTTAATACTTAAAATACTTCACAAAGAGTATTCCAAATATACTTAAAATATTTATTTTTTTAGTATATTTCGTTAGCAAAAATAATTAATCAAATATTAAATAATTTATTTTTTCAATTCAATATTTATGAATAAACTGAATAATATATTTGATAATATACAAAAATATAAGTCGTAAACTACTATATCAGTTCAAATAATTTGAAAAATTTACAATTATTGTAATATTGTGATAATTTAAATATTAAATTTAGTAAGTAGAAACATTTTTTTTATAAAACTTAATAATAAAGAATATTACTCACAATTTATATTGATATTATTAACTTTTAATACTGCATTAATTTATATTTATAATACTAATACATTTATTAGTATTTGTATACTTGTATAAAAGGTGCAACTGAAAAAATTGACCAATTTATAAACTAAAAATGTGCTAACCTGTGTTTTTATTAAAATTGCACTTTATATTAACTTTATTTTACTTTTATATTATATACAATAAAAAAAAATCATATAATATAAAATAATAAATAAATATAAGATAAAATATTTTAATATAAAAGCATTTCCTATAAAAAATAATTAAATAATTTAAAAAATGTAGTTGAACGTTAAAAAAGTTTTCAGAGCACTGTATTTAGAATACTATATATATATATATATAATACTATGTTACAATTACTATGAATAGCTTCTTATAATACGCCAATAAATGAAAGTTTTAAATGCATCATAATCAGTGTTATGCAAAGATAATTAAACATTTAACTAGATAAAGATTAAAGATAAATCACTATTTATCTGGTTAAAAAAAAAGATAAAATTTTTTATTTTTTTTTATTAATTAAATTACACTTTTTTTTAAATATATACTTAAAAATTAAATTTAAATTGACTTAACTTTGATATAATATGCCTCTCCAATATAAATAATTAATAACAAATATTTATACTATGCACATTTATGTATAGGAAATAAGAAATAAATAATAAGTACTTAGTTTAAAAAAAAAAATAAATTCTTTGTAGGTATATTATAATTTTATAAAACAATTTATTATATAATATATATAATATAATATACTATAAAATATAATACTTATTATGGAGTAATATTTATTGTTAAAATATTAAAAAGTTAATTCAACTATTATCTGTATTATTTAATTCTCTTTCTTAGAAATCAAATATTGTAAGAGTCACTAGAAAGTATAAATTGAATAATATTTATCAAATATATAAACAATTCTTAATAATAATATTTATAGGCACAATTTAAATAATATAACTTAACATATATTACAGTAACACAAATTTCAAAATAATAGTAATTATTTATAAAGTTAATGAATTAATAATATTAATAAAGTTTTCATTAATTTTAAATATTCATTTCTTTTTAACTTTCAAGTTCGATTTTTCGAATTTTTTGTATAAATATACTGGTGTTTATTTATCTTATAAACTGCGTTAGATAACTCAAAAATTTATCTAAGATAATTCATCAGATAACTAATTTTGTTTATTTTCTAGATAAGATAAAAGATAATTCATTATTTATTTAAACAATTTATTTAGATATTTTATCTTAATAATGCTCAACACTGATCGTAATTTAAAGAATATTATGTCCTCTATTATAAATTACGTCGATATAAATAAAAGTATAAAAAAAATGTATTCGAGCATGATAAGTAATCTATTTTGAAGGTTTTCCACGATTAAATTGTGATTTAACGTTACAAAAAGCATATTCCACTGAAACATAATACCTAGTTTGTTTTTATCTTAAAATAAGTATTAACCTTGAATCGACGAATCAAGTCTTGAAAGGTATGTATAGGCATGAGAGCCATGATATCCCAAAAAAAAAAAGAATTAAGTCCTTCATGTTCTATAAATTAATATATGCCATAAGACAAAGGAAATTAAATTTTGTCATTTAATTTTAAAAATGATCAATAGTTAATAAAGTTCTAATTTTTATTAATTTTTATTAAAATTTACTTTAATTTTTTTTAATTGTGTACTATAGTTTTGTCCTTTTGAAAAAATTACCCTCCTCTCCCAATTATAGTTCTAGATCCACGCCTAGACATGTATCATTAATACGATGGCACTAACACACTTTTCATAAATATATATTATTTTAAATTATGTATTTTACTTTTTAATTTATTCAGTTTATATACTTTTTAAGAAATCCTTCCATAATAAATTTATATTGAAAACTTTTAATTCTGTATTAATTAATTATATTATTCGATTACAACTTTTAAAAAGTTAACATTACACACAGTTAAATGTAAATAATTTTTAAAATTCAACTGTGTATAATCAAACTACGCTATGTCTTTTACTATAATTATATACTATGCAAAGTATGATAGTAGCCCAAACAATAAAATGTATGAATCTAAAATTCTCTGCATATTTATATAGATAACTGGATATTTAATTTACTTTCGTTAAATCGCGAATTTTATATTTTAACACTATATTTATTTAACACTAGTTCGAACTTCGAATATTAAACTACATCAAAATTTTCATACAATATCTTATATAGATGATTGAAAATCGGACAATTTATAATATATTTACTTTAATAATATCATTTTTAGGTGAGCTAACTCACTAAGCTCGGAAAAATAATATAAAAACTATTGTACACAATTACAATTTTTCTTTTATATTACTTTAGATGATATAAATAATTTTCTATTTTATGAAAAATTATACGATGTATAACAATTAACTACAATTTATTATACATGGTGCTAATACTACTAATTGTATATATTCTAATTTATATGTACAACAAAAAAAATATCGTTAATTATGAAAAATACTTTTAATCACATTACCTAATAAAATTTAATGCAAAAATACATTCATAAGTGTTATTCTAGTCAACTATTTAAACACTGATAAGACTACTGGCATAAAAATCATTTGGCATTTATAAAATATAAATTTAATTATCCAATTATAATATAAATGATTGCTTGGCAAAATCCAAGGATTTTTCATTTTTCATTTATATCTTAAAATATAATACTTATATATATATATATATAATACTTGATTATATTGTCTTTCGGGTTGTACTTTTAATTCTTCAAAATAATAGACAAAACTTGAAATGCACTTTTAAAAATTTATTATCAAAAAATATGAAAAAGTATTTTTTTTGAAATGGTAATTTAAAAAATCAGTTATTGTGCCTCTTTTCATTGTCGTTAGTTCACAATTTTTTTAATAAAACAATTGAAAGAAAACTACCCTAAAAATTTTAATATAGGTACATACTATTCAGAATTCATTACATAACACATTTGAGTAACCATCGTTTTAAAATTAATAACCAATTTGCATAAAATACAGCTTCAACCGTCCTTGAAAATCATTTTTTAAGACGATGATGGCTCAATAAAATGACTTTAGTCTATCAGCTCTTGTGTTCCGCGCTTAGTTTATATTATATCCAAACTAATTAATGCTGCTCTCTAAATGCATACATCATCAATAATTAATGATACAATTATTGTATTCTGGTTGAACAGCAAAGCTTAGAAAGAAAAACTATCAGGCTTAGACTCTAAATTTCACCTCCACCAGCATACCTCACCAGATTGTACGACTTTAATATTGTATTAACTTTGGATTATGCAGATTTATACAATGAATTATACACGTATATTTATATTTTCTTCCTGATACTTAAAAACATCCAATAACTTAATACTAAAAACAAACACAAGAATGTTTACAATTATTTACGTGTGAATATTTAATAGAATAATAAAAAATTAAATAAAAATAAATATTAATATATAAATAAACATATAGTTTATGTATTGACATGAATAAATTAATTTTATTTATTTATTTCTATATATAAACTATTTGTTTATTTACATATTTATGAATATTTCTTGTCAAAACATTTATTTTTTTTCTCATTTCAGCTAAACAGTCGTGATCTCTTCTGACTTATAACATTTTTATTTCTTCGTACTGATATACTATACCGGTAATAATAACTGAACTTATTGATTATGTTCACTCTTCGTTTTCGTGTTGGTTTCATAATATTTAACATACCATTTTCAGATATAATCTACAAGATTTTATCAGATATACTTACATAAATTAATTTTATTGCCAAAAAAAACATAAGATTTAACTATTACACCAAAAAAACAAAAAAAAACCATCAAAATGCAAAATAAGAATAGTGTTTTTTTTGTTGTTTGTATGTATAAATATATACTCGTATATCTCGGTAAGTAGGTAAAGTCATATGCCATGTTATACGTTGGATATAATAAACATACAGTAAGAAAAAAAAATTTAAAATAACTCTCGTGGATGTATAGATTAATGCTACCTCTATATTAGAATATATATGTAGATAAGTTGTATATATATCGCATT